TATCCCAAAGAAAGGAGCCTCCACCAGATCCAGCTGTAAGGCATTTTCTCAATTAGTGATCAAGGGGGAAGGGCACATTGTGAGTGGTGCCATCCCTGGGCTGGTAGTCCTGGGTCCTATAAGAAGACAAGCTGAGCCAGGCAATAGTGGCGCATGCCTTTGATCCCAGCACTTGGGAGGCAGAGGCAGGTGGATTTCTGAGTTCGAGGCCAGCCTGGTCTACAGAGTGGGTTCCAGGACAGCCAGGGCTACACAGAGAAACCCTGTCTCGAAAAACCAAAAACAAAAAAAACAAAAAAAAACAAAAAAAAAACAAAAAAAGAAGACAAGCTGAACAAGCCAGGGGAAGCAAGCCAGTAACCAAACCTCTCCATGGCCTCTGCATCAGCTCCTGCCTGTAGGTACCTGACCTGCTTGAGTTCCAGTCCTGACTTCCTTTGGTGTAGAACAGCAATGTGGAAGTGTAAGCTGAATAAACCCTTTCCTCTCAACTTGCTTCTTGGTCATGATGTCTTGTGCAGGAATGGAAACCCTGACTAAGACACACATCTTCCCTTTGCTCCATCCAGAGGACCATCTTCTTATGGTTTATTAATCCTGAAATGAAAATTTGTCTAAACTGTTTCCTATATAAAATCAAAGAAAACACTTGTTGACAAGACTCAAACACAATGTTATATTTATTTTCAATGACAAAAACAACACAACAAAGTGGACCAATCCATTAAATTTTAAGTCTAGCATAATTTTCAGCAGAAAAACTTATGTTCCATTAAATTTTAAAACAACATATCACAATTAACGGTATCCAGCCAACAGTGTCTGAGGATAGCTAGGTACAAGGGTCAAACACAGAATCACTAACTTACAGCACAGAGTTTTAAGATTTGTGTGTGTGTTGTGTAACTTGTTTTTTTTGATTATTGACTGTGAAGTCTGTATATGACATCTTTTATAATGTCGAAAGGATAGAAGCTCCTACAAGCCTAGGGCTTCGTGTTCACACAGTGAGTGGTAAGTAAGCAAATGAGTGCTATAGAGTCTTGACTCAGAACTCAAAAAGCAACAGCCAAGGAAGAAGAGGTTTCAAAGACTGTTAGCAAGATGACTGTGAGGTTTTTCAACACAGTCAACACAGAAACCAGAGCTCCCTGGGGATGGGATACTTTGGAACAGTCCATGTACAAGCTCTGCAATTAAATCTTATTTCTAGACTCTTGGTTTGGGACCCACCACCTAAAGCAACTTCTGCCAGGAGACAGGAGGTTAGTCACTCACCAAGTCAGATGCCCTTTCGTTTCTAACCTTGACTTTGTCACTGGGCTCCTGTCACCTGTACAATGGGGGACACATTCCAACCAAGGATCACTGCTACACAGACCAACCTCTCTGGCTTAGGTTTCCCTATCATGAACAGGGATGCTTGCCATGGGCAGCTGATCCCGCTTCTATTGTTTTATCCTGCTACACAACACTGCTTGGCTGCAGAACCTGGGGTCACAGAGCAGCAGCACCGGTTGGTGTCAATGGTCACAAGATGCTTACATCATCACCTGCCACGTCCTCTCCATCACCTTGCCCGTTATTTCTTGCGGAACTCGATCCGCCGAGCAACATTCTGAGCTCCAAATTTCTTGACCAGTGCCTTTCTCGTGTCGTCATCGTCCTTCTGCAAATCTAAGTCATCCTGCCGACACCAGATGGGATAACCATCGGGTCTCCGTCCTGACTCTAAGAAAGAGGAAGTGGCCTCCAGCTCGCCACTGTTTTTCAGCAAGGCCTGTGTAACCGTTGAGAGATCCAAGTTAAACTTTTCCATCAGCTGCCGGATGATCTTAATGGCAGTCCCCACTTCTTGTGTAGACACTTTTGGTTCCTCTTCCTCCTCGTCTGGCTGCGTTTCTGAATCTTCCTCAGGTGTGGGTGGATCACCGTCACACATCGTTATATGTATTTCAAAGTCAGGGCTCTCATCCACCTAGAAAGAATGAGGAGAGACAGTCTTAAATTATTTATAAGCTTACTAGTCAATAAACTATTTATTAAGCCTTGAACCCTTGCAACATACATGTGTCTTCCCAACTGTCACTCCCTGGCTCTGCACACGGCAATCACCCGGGCTCCCTTCAGTCCCTCTCATCTGTATTTATCCATGCTGACATGTGTACATATATGCACATGGGTAGTATGAGGAATGGCAGCATGTTGTGCACATCTGTACATATATATTTAACTGATTAAAATATGGAATGTGTGTGTGTGTGTATGTGTGAGAACATGTGTAACCTGTATGACATTAGATCGCTTATTAAATGCCTGACTTGGCTTGCAGATGTGAAGTTCCATAAAAACAGGAAGCAGGCATGCTGTGCTCATCCCCGAAGGCTGGAACTAAGTCCTCAATATTGCTCTATGAGTCTATTAGGGTTTCCAAGCTGTATGACACTTAGGCATATGACAAAGCAGTATATGAGAGCTGTGTCTAAGGACTACTGAGTTTGACAGTTGATGGGAAGTGAACAAATGATCAAATAACAAAACAACATGCAAGCTACAAAAAGCAATAATCCTTTAGTTCTGGTGGTCAGTGATAGTCACTCACTCACTATTTATATGAACGTAATTTTCTTCTTTTATCCTAAACACTAGCTGGGTGTGGTGATACATCCCTGTAATCCCAGCATTCCTGGCCGAAAGATCACCCAAAAAGATCACCCAAAAGATCAGGGCAGTTTTGGCTATACAGGGAGAAGATGTTTCACGTAGCCTAGCTGGCCTTGAATGTACTTTGTAGCACAGATGATCTTTAACTTTTTCCCCTTTTTGAATTAATTTAAAGATTTTTAGAATTATTATTGTATGTGCATGAGTATTCTGCCTACACATGTGTATGTGCACCACATGCATGCCTGATTCCCACGGAAGCCAGAAGAGAGCAAAAGGCACCTGAAACTGGAGTTACAGACAGTTGGTTACGAGCTGCCTTGTGGGTGCTGGGATCAAACCTGGGTCCTCTGCAAGAGCAACAAGTGCCTGACCCTCTAAGACAACTTTGCAGCCCTCACCTTTAACTTCTGAATCCCACCTTTTGACTCCCAAGTGCTGTAATTATAGGCATGTACCACCACATTCACTGGGGTAGGATTTTTTTGGTTTTTTGGTTTTTTTTGTTTGTTTGTTTGTTTTAATTTTAGGCACAGTAGCTCAGGGTAGCTTCAGAAACAGTATAGCCAAGGATAATCCTGAACTCTTGCTCCTCCTGCCTTCATGTCTTAAGCGCTGGGGTCACAGTCAAACACCAGCATGACAGGCTGAGGTAGTATCTTTAAGAAGAAAGGGCGGAATGTGGCTTGTCACGTAGTTCAGTCGCAGAACATTTGCCTAGCATGTGTGCAGCTCTGGACTTGGGCCTCAGCTCTAGGGGAAAACACAGCTAAGCAGGGCATGAAGGCCAGCCTGGGTTACAAAAGACCTTGGAAGAAAAGGAAGGCAGGAGGGAGCAAAAAACTGAATCATAACCTCTTTCTTTTTCTTTTTTTCTGTTCTGTTTTTCTCTAAGACAGGATCTCACTATGTAGCTCTGGCTGTCCTGAAACTCATGCAGACCAGGCTAGCCTGGAACTCACAGAGATCCACCTGCCTCTGCCTCCCTCACAAACACTAGGATAAAGGCACATGCCACTATGTTTGGTTCCATAACCACTTTCTTTTGTGTTAATTCAGGACCAGCAAGATAAGATGGCTGTGCAGGTAAAAGCCTCTGCCACCAAGCCTGACACTTGAGTTTAACCTCCGGGTTCTACATGATAGAAAAAGAGGACAGACTTATCCAATAAATAAAATTGTAATAAAACTTGTTTGTTTGTTTGTTTTTGTTTTTTTGAGACAAGGTTTCTCTGTGAAGCCCTGGCTGTCCTGGAACTCACTCTGTAGACCAGGCTGGCCTCGAACTCAGAAATCCGCCTGGCTCTGCCTCCCAAGTGCTGGGATTAAAGGCGTGCGCCACCACCACTGCCCGGGACATAATAAAACTTTTTAAATGTCTTTTAAAAGTTAATTTACAAGATCTTTAGTCTTGGAGAAGATACATAAATATAATTTGGATTAAAAAAAAAGTCATCATCATTAACTTGCAGCAATGGCCTTTCTCAAAGGCTATTACTATAGGATTCCAGTAGCATATTCAAAAACAGACTGAATATGAAAGAACAAGAATATTCCAAAGTTCTAAGCACACAGAAACTTTAAAAGTTAGAAGTATAAGCACATTGTAAAACAACCAAATAAACAGTTCTTTGAAACCATGCTCTGAGATCCAAGTGTTCAAAACAGAACACTTTAGAACCTGTCCCATGGCACACGTCTTCAATCTCGGTACTCGGAAGGCTGGGGCAGGCAGATCTGTCAGTTCGAGGTCAGCCTGATCTACATATCAAACTCCAAGCCACCCATGGCTATAACGAGACGGTCTCAAAGCAAACAAAAGAAAAAAATAAAACTGTGATTATTTTTCTCCCTCAGCCACTACTATCCGTTAAATACTAAAAGCTTTGTAAAGCCTAAAGCCAGGTCACAGCAATTTTCTTTCCTCTTCTATCTTGTACGTTCCTGGCCTCGCGTGGATGGAAAGCACAGTTTACTAAGCAAATGAGAAGGAGGCAGGGGGAGGAATTGAGTAATCAAGTTAAGATACCACGGCTTCTCCGAACTCCCGAGTGGCTTCCTCAAACAGCTTGTTGACTGTCTCTCCATTCTCCTTGGTCTCTCCCTGCACACACTCCTCTTCCGGCAAGTCTGGCGTTCTCTTGTTCTGTGGCTCTATTAAACACAAGAGCAGCAGATCGACAAGGCTCATCCGCACAGACCGTCTGTATCAGTTCTGTGCATGCAGATAGTTTCCTTTTAGGAAATTCCTGTTTGTTATTCAGAAGTGAACAAAGAGCATAAGATATGCACACCCAATAATTCTCACACTTGTTTCCAAAAATAACCTACAATCACTACCAGCACTCAGGAGCTCGATGCAGGAAGATTTTGAGTTAAGAGGCTAGTCTGGGACTCTAAGTGAGTTCTAGGCCAAATGAAATAATAAATGAAGACATGATGATTTAAGTACGGTGGAGGTTTACTGTAGATATGAGGGAGAGCATAGTCAGAGGCATCTGGAAGAGTCTAGACTAAACTGGGCAATGGGAGGAGAGAGGGAGGGATGGAGGAAGGTAAGGGGAAGGAGGAAGCGTTGGAGCAAAGAGAGTATCTGGGAGCATGGAGACCGAGAGACTGGCATAGCCAGAATGGTTGGATTATATAGGAATCAGACGCTGGGGAGGAGAGGTTGATAAGGGTAGGGAACGCTTATGTCAGCCAGGATGACTCTGACAGGTAAGGAGAACCTGACAGCATCTGCTTTGATATGTTACAATAGGAACCCAAAGGGCTGCTGAAATAGAGAAATACCTTTTAGCTCCCCAGACAACCTCCCATTCCCAAATAGAGGGAGAAAGCATGCTTTTTTAATCAAAAGGCCTATCATTTAAACTGTCAATACTGGTTATAGAAAAAGGCAGATATCTTAGCCAGGCACAGTGGCTCAACTGTGTAACTCCAGCACTCTAGAGACTGAGGTAAGAGGATTGCCTAGACTTGGGAGGCCAGCCTGACTGTCTCAAAAACAAACTTACAACACGACTTTAAAAAAGCAGCACCTTGGGCTGGAGAGATGGCTCAGCAGTTAAGAGCACTGACTGCTCTTCCAGAGGTCCTGAGTTCAATTCTCAGCAACCACATGGTGGCTCACAACCATCTGTAATGGGATCCGATGCCCTCTTCTGGTGTGTCTGAAGACGGCAATGCACTCACATATATAAAATAAATAAATCTTTAAAAAAATGCAACAACACCTTTGTACTATATACTAACCATAACCTGATCTCAACCTCAAGTGCTTAGAATTCACCTCACCTAAGGAAGATCACAAAGTAACCTTCCCCTCTATATGGAATTACATTCCATTAAACCTAAATACAGAAATAAACTGATCTGCCATTGCCTTCCACATAGTTTATACTGAATAAGATCAGAATACAGGCAACATGTCAAAAAGAACAGCCAGGGGCTTTTTCTCAAAAAAGAAGAGGAGGAGGAAGAGGAGGAAGAGGGAGAAGAGGAGGAGGAGAGGGGAAAGGAGGAGGAGGAGGAGGAAAAGGAAGAGAAAAGGAGAGGTGGAAGGAGGAAGGAAGGAGAGAGAGGGAGAGGGAGTAAGGGAGGGAGAGAGGGATAGGGGAAAAGGGAGCGAGGGGAAAAACATCTTTGCAATTTCTGAAAACAGAAACAGGTTACCCTGTTACCTCCTGGAGGGAAACTGGGTAGCTGGTGGGTAGGAAGAGTACAAGATTTTCATATATACTGTACAGTGTTCCTTTTGAACACAGAGCCGTTCTTGTAAACTAGTTACTGTCCCGTAGTCCCAGCCACTCCGGAGGCTGAGGAAGAAGAACATTTCAGCCGTAGTTAGAGGACAGACAGCCTGGGCGACACAGCGAGAGACCTCAAGTTCCCCGCCCTCCCAAACTCCAACCAACGATCTAACATCCAGTCAATGGGAAGGAAAAGTTAATGAGAAGATAAATTAAAACAAGAGAGCAAGAGACAAGAGGAAGCTTCGGCAGTCAAGAGAGAAAGACTCAGCTCTGCCACCAATGGCGTCAAAAAGGACGCTGATGGGCAGGCAGCCCCGCCCCCCTGGGGCCCCGAAGGTGCAAGCCTCACCTCCGCTATCCGCGGCCTCGGGGTCCTGCTCCGCCTTCCGTTTGAGCTTCTGGGAGGACGGGCTGACCGGGGCGTTCCCGAGCAGGTACTTGTGCTCCTGGCCCCGCAGATGCTTGAGGTAGCGGTCCTTGAGCGACTGCCAGGAGTGCTGCGTGAGCGAGCTCTTCTCCATCGCTTTCCACAAGGCGTTGCCTGTGACCGAGCTGGGCGAACGAGCGTTTTCCTTCACGTAGGTCAGGATGGCCACATCGTCCGCGTCGGTGTAGGCAATGCGCCCGGTCAGGGGCTGCGGCTCCGGTTCCGTGGAGCCCTCGGCGGAAGCCCCGGGCTTGGGATCGGACGCCTGCTCCGTCAGGCCCAACCGGTAGGCCTCCATCTCCAGCTTCTCGTTGCGCTCCACACAGTCTAGGATGTACTGCGTGGAGATGAAGTCGCCCGAAGCCTCGGCCAGCGCCTCCCCGGGCTGGGCTAGCAGCACAGCCCCGGGCTCCTGCACCCGGCACACGGTGCCGCCGCCGTGCAGGATGAGCGTCGACAGCCGGCGCTTGGCCGAGCTGGGCCGCACGTAAAACGACATGGCGCTGCCGTCTTCCCTCACGAACAGAGTGGAGGAGTGAGTGGGCCCATTGGGGTCTTTACCCAGATCCATCGCCTCCGCCATAGCTGCCGCTCAGCTGTACGAGAAAAGCGCAAGAGCAACGCCGCGGAGATGGACTCTCCGCCGAGGAGCCCAGCACTGCGCCTGCGCAGCGAGAGCCCAGCCGAGTGCCCGCCCTCTTTCCCGGAAGAGGCGGGACTTAGGGCCATGACCTGGAAGTTCTAGTTCTACGCTAGTCACAATTTTTTTCCTGGGCCAGTGGGGAAGATGGCTACGCTGCAGGAGAGTGAAGTCAACGTGGATGGCGAGCCGAAACTAAGCAAGAAGTAAGTGTCGTTGAAGGTCTTTAAGTGTCTCTTGTCGCAGTGTTCCGATGGGAAGTACTTGGAGTTTTCCCGCCAAGGCGACTGTGCCGGGGTCCCTCTGTCTTTTCCGGTGGGTGAGCACATGCTGGCACATGCAGTGTCCTAGAACCTACAGCCTCCGGGATGCTCCAGTATCTACTGCGTGGCTGATGAGTTCCCTGGTCCTAGCTGTGGGGACGAGCATACCTAGGGAAAGCCATCACAGAAACTGGGAACGGCAGCAAAGAAAAGTGAAACTAACTTTACCCTACCTTCTAAGAAATGCTTCTTTTTTTTTAAGAAATTGAGCCACTCCCCCAACGGATAGATTGGAAAATGGTTAAATATCTTTGTTCTTCAAAGGAGAACCTTTAAATTATTCTTGGCCTATCCAAGGTTATTCTGCACCTTAGGTGTTAAAAGGGGGTACGTCCGGAAACTATAGTGCTCTTATCCATATGTGTCACTCAGGGGAGCTGTGACAAAGGAGCCAATGGCCTTATTTAGCGGGTTGCACCAGGTTCCCTTTGCAGTGCTGGGTGTATCTTTGTAAAACATTCCAAATCCGAGAACTGAGTAAACAGACAAGATTAGCCTCTCTTTAACTGTTTTTTTTTTTTTTAGGACCACATTCTAGTCCAGGGCTTGCCACTTGACCCACAGAACACTAGCAATGATTAAATGTCTTCTTAATGCCTGGAACTACATAGTGCCCTCCAGAGCTGTAGGAAATAACTAGTTTAAGCAGTTACATACCATGGCTGCTTTAGTTAGTGCCCTAGCAGTAAATAAATCCTCTTGTTGGTCCCTGAGGGAAATACCAAAGATATTCTAGATTAGAATTGATTTTACCTTTTATGACTATGTTTCTGCTTTGTGTGTTTTAGAAGGATTTTAAAGAAAATGTTGAAATTTATGGGTTGCTAGCTCCCTAACTGGTTGTCCTTTTTACGAGTGGTTTGGTGAATTCCTTTAGAGGAGACTGAGTGAGTTTATTAAATCAGTAGTTGGAATTTTGAGTCACAAGTGAAAGTACCTCAGTTTTCAGGTAAATTAAGCCTTACTGCTGCTTTCAAGTCACTTTTCTTAAATATACCATTCGCTTTTTTTTTTTTTTTAAGCAACATTTCCCTGTTAGACACCATGCTGGCACTGTACAAACTTTGTCTAATCTCAGTAGTAATCTTGCAAGAGAAATGTTCATGTCCACTTTTCAAAGTCACAAACTATGTCCCTGGGTGATGATTTTTACTCAGCATTTGTGAGTGTGGCTTAGTGGCTGCTTCCATGCACAAGTATATATTCCTGATGTGCCTTCTAGCACTGCTCTGAAGCACTAGAGTACTGGGAGAGAAATCCAAAGGGAAGTCTATACCAAGTCTGGGATCCTCAGTTGTCTAATTAAATCAGGTGGCTTTGTTTTTGTTTTTACAAGACAGGGTTTCTCTGTGTAGCACTCACAGACTGTCCTAGAACTCACTCTGTAGACCAGGCTAGCCTCAAACTGAGAGATCTAGATCTACCTGCCTCCTGAGTGTTTGCACCACCACGAGCTGGCTTTAAAATAAACCAGTTTTGATGTACGTTCCTGGCTAAAATAATTTTATTGTGCATGTGAATAATAGATAGTCCCTTCTTTTTCCTAATTGTTCTTGCAATTTCTTAAAGTTTTTACTGTGGACCATTTTATTCCTGAAAGTTCCCAGAGTTAAAAACTGATGGGTTATCTGCTCAAATCACTCATTCTCAAACGAAAGATTCCTCCTCAAAATACTTCAACACAGTAGAGTGTGATCCTGGTAGATCTGAGGCCATTGTGTGTATAACACATAAACATGGTATCATCTGGAGACCTGTCCTTTCCTCTGTGTTGGTCCATTCTTTGTCTCAGAGAGTCTTTCCTGTAGCTGGCTTCTGTGTGCTTTATTTATTTATCTTCTGGGACAGGGTTTCACTGTGTTCCTCAGGCTGTTCTCAGACTCCTAGGCTCAAATGTTCCTTCCCAAGCTCCCAAGTAGCTGAGACTGTCTAAAATTTGATATTTTCATTGTCATCCTGTTGCCAGGATTCCATCTTCAGGGGAGAAACCACACTTCAGAGCCCACATTTTGCCTTCCACGCTTTAAGAAGTTGTGAGCATTTCAGCATTTAAGCTGTTGATTGACTTGCATTTGAGTTCCGAATCCCAGATATGAAGCGGTTTTTTCTATAATAGGACAAAGAACATTGCAGATGTCAGGAAGGTCTGAAGTTCAGAGGGACACTGCATGTTAGTACAAATCATGACTCCCGTACTCAGCAGTGCAGAATGGGTAGGTGTATACTATTGGTCCCCTCTGACTACACATCTCTGTTTCCTGCTAGGTGGTGGTAATCCTTAGTTCCAGGGTGTTCTGCCATGTTGATGCAAGCTGCTGTCAGGCTTGTTAGGGGGTCCCTGCGCCAAACCTCATGGGCAGAATGGGGTCAGAGGGAACTTCGACTGGGCCAACTTGCTCCTTTCACAACGCTCCACAAGGACAAGCCACTTTCTGATAGAAGAAGGTTGGTGCCCATTACCTTCTTTATTGCACTGGGAGCAGAATCTTTCTTTGGCGTCTGTTAGCTTGCTAAGTCTTTGGACATGTTAAGGAAGCAGAGCTCTATTGCCCAAGCCAAGATTCCCCTTCTTACTCTATGAGTTCAGAGTCCATCTCCCTGTGGTCCCTTCTCTTTTCCCTTTCTTTTTCCCCCTTTGACTAATTCTTGTTTATTGAGACAGGATCTTGCTATATAGACCAGGCTGTCCTCAAGCTCACTCTGTATGAAAGCTGGCCCTAAACTAAAAGTCTTTCTGCTTTAGCATCCCATGCTAGGATTACAGGCCTGTGCTACACCACCCTGCCTGAAATAAGGAGTTTCTAATGCTAGTTATTTTCCCCTTTTTTGTCTTTCTGGGGTTTGTTTATCAACTTTGTCCTAGTTTTGGTGCTCCCTTTAAGGTCTTTTTTGGACTGTCCTTACAATCTACAAGAGCAAATCCTGAATGAAGCAGAAAAGAGATTTATCTTAATATCGAGATGGGGTTTAGGGAGGACCAGATAGCCTTAAAAGCTTGCTCACTGAATTACAGAATGATAGACCACTGGACTGTTAGAAAGATGAATGCAAGACAGATTGTATTTAGAAAGACTTGTCTGTTTTGAAGCTTTCATGATTATTTTGTACTTAAAAGATAGTGAAGTTCTTTTTTTTTTAAGATTTATTTATTTTATGTATTTGAGTACACTGTAGCTGTCTTCAGACACACCAGAAGAGGGCATCAAATCTCATTACAGATGGTTGTGAGCCACCATGTGGTTGCTGGGATTTGAACTCAGGACCTCTGGAAGAGCAGTCAGTGCTCTTAACCACTGAGCCATCTCTCCAGCCCCTGATAGTGAAGTTCTTTAAATTTCGCTAAATTCATATTGAAAACAAAGATAGGGCAAAGAGCAGTCAGTGGTGCATATCTGTAATCCCAGGCACTTAGGAAGCTAGGGGAAGAGGGTTACAAGTTCAGGGGCAGATCGAACAATTTAGCAGTCCCGTTTCAAAATAAAAAAAGGAGCTTGGGGGTAATTCAGTGTTAGACCTCTTGCCTAGCACATGTGGACCCCTGGGTTCAACCTCCAATAGTTCAAAACAAACCAAAGAAAGTGAAGGGTGTGTTCTAAAGCCAGACAGTATGCAAGCGTGGCTTAGAATCTTTTGCTATGATTCACTGTTGAAGACTTAGCAGTTGTAAAGTATGATCCATCCATAAATTCTCTTTCAATATCAAAGATATTCTTGTCTAAGTCAGTTTATTTTTCCTGGATTCAGGTAGCAAGTTCAGGTCATAAGGGTCACAGAGTTGCTCCCATTGTTTTGTGTTTAAGGTAACATGTTTGAAGTTTAGATGGTGAGAGACTTGATTAGAAACAGATCCAGATTTGTCTGGGCTTTGTCCTGGAGGCAGAATGTGAAGAGTTAAGTAGTGAGCGACCTAGAACCCACTCTTGAGCCCTAACTACACTCTGGAACCCGGTCATTTCTCACTAACATCTCAGTCCTCACAACTGGTGAGAGGGTGTCTTACTTCCTTTTTCTAGATGATGACAAGTCATATGCTCAATGTCATTCAAGTGGTTGGTGTTTTAGAATTCAGTGCTAGGCAGTTTGACTACAAACATAGCATATTGCCTGTATTGTGCTGCTTTGTGTAGTAGTCCATTCTGGTTAATGTCAGAACAGTTTTGTTCTGAGCTAGGTCTCAGGCTGGCCTCAAATTCACTATGTAGCTGTAGATGACCTTAAACCTGTGGTCTTCTACCTGCACCTCCCAAGTACTGGGCTTACAGATGTGCATCGTCACATCTGCAGTGCTAGAGATCAAACCCAGAGCTTTGTGCATGCTGGGCAAGCACTCTACCAACCAGGCCACATCCCCAACCCCCACACCACTCTTTGACAGCTGTTTTGAAATTACCTCTTGAGGAGATTGTGTCTTCAAGCTCTGAAGACTAGTTCTCCACAGTCTAACCCACTTCTCTAGGAGAGCCAGGAAGCTGACAGAGCCAGAGGTATTACCTTGTTACACTTTTAAGTGGTACCGTAGGGACTTTATCTTCTAGGGATACCAAACTACCAGTATGCAGTGTCTAGTGTCAAGGAGCTTAAAAGTTTATCCTGCAGATTTTCTGGGAACTCTCTGTTCCAGTACTTGCATAAACTGGTAAATGTGGGCTTCTCCACCTTTGAGT